ATGTAAGAAATATCTAAGCGACATATTTCGAATCAAATATTTATCGCAAATACAAAATTTGGCGGAAGAAAAAAAAATAAATAAAAACCAATTGTTCAGAGAACAATTGAAGGTCTTTCCAAATCAATTTTCAAATTTATTGAAAAGAAGCTAGTTCCGGTTTACTTAAAGTTAAAATTGGTATCCAATCATAAGTTTCTTCAAACTGATGCGATAAATGAATGGTTTCTATATACTTTTGAGTGAAATAAGGGAGATAATGTGCTACTTCCGGTGAAGTAAACGTCACTTCCGGTCTCATTTGATAGCTTCTTTTACACTGATTCCAAAATTATATAGTTTCTATATACTTTTGCATGTAAAACAGGAGATAATTGGCCACTTCCGGTTTATCGAAAGTCACTTCTGGTCTTTAGTGATAAGTTTATGTATTTATATTACAAAATATATGAATTCTGAGTACTTTTCCATGAAAAAAGTGCAAAAAAGGCTTCTTCCGGTTTTCTCAAGGTCACTTCCGGTCGACATTTTTCAAGGTCATATGTCATCAAACCTTTTGAAAATGCAAAAACAAGGAAAAGTCAAAATTGAGAACTTGACCTTGACTTTTGACCTTGACTTCATTTTCTTAGTTAGGATCTACGGGTCTCAAATAAAAAGATTCCAGGGTTATACGGTTAAAAGTTTATGTGTTAAAAAAACATACAGACAATTTTTTTTGGTAAAGGTAGATAACTTCTATAAAATTTCATCGAATCGCTTTGATCCAAATTAGCCAAAAACTCCTTAGGATGTAACGAACAATTTAGAAAAAGAATTTTGTCGATATCTTTTTTTGTTACGAAGGAGATAAACACTCTTGATAAACAGTGAATAGGGAGATAACTCTTACAAAGTAAATTATTCGTCTTAGCAGGGTGAAATTTAAAAGCGCATAAACTATATGATACAATATGAGAAATATCTGAGCGACATATTGCAAAACAAACTTTTATCGCAAGAAAAAAATTTAAAATGTCACTTCCGGTCTCATCTGATAGCTTCATTCACACTTATTCCAAAAATATATAGTTTGTATATACTTATGCCTGTAAAAAGGGAGATAATATGCTACTTCTGGTTTATAAAATGTCACTTCCGGTCTCATATGATAGGTTAATGTATGCCCATTCAAAAAATATATGGATTTCTAGTTCTTTTCCATGAAAAAACTGCAAAAATGGCTACTTCCGGTTTTTTCAAGGTCACTTCCGGTTGTCATTTTTCAAGGTCATATGTCACCCAACCTTTTGTAAAAGGTCATATGGCTTTATAATGAACCATATTGAAGTGATAATCAATTAACCTTATAATTGGACATTTCAGGGGCACTAACTCCTATTTGATGTTATTAGATTGTTTCAGACCAAATTTAACATATCTTCATTACAATTAAGCAAACATTTTGCACTTGTTCTTTTATATATATCTTTAAAAATGTTGGAGAAAATGCAAAAACAAGGAAAAATCAAAATTGAGAACCTGACCTTGACCTTTGACCTTGACTTCATTTTCTAATTAAGGACCTAGGGGTCTCAAATAAAAACATTCTAGGGTTATAAGTTTAACGGTTTATGAGTTAAAAATACATACCGACAAATTTTTTTGGTAAAGGTAGATAACTCCTATAAAATTTCATCGAATCGCTTCAATCCAAATTAGCCAAAAATTCCTGAGGATGTAACGAACAATTTAGAAAAAGAATTTTGTCGATATCTTTTTTTATTACAAAGGAGATGCACACACTTTATAAACAGTGAATAGGGAGATAACTCTTACAAAGAAAATTGTTCGGCTAAGCAGGGTGTAATTTAAAAGCGCTTAAACTGTACGATACAATATGAGAAATATCTAAGCAACATATTGCGAAACAAATACTTATCGCAAGAACAAAATTTGGCGGAAGAAAAACAAAAAAAATTAAAAACCAATTGTTCAAAGAACAATTGAAGGTTTTTCCCCATCAATTTTCTAAATAACTGATGAGAAGCTAATTCTGGTTTACTCAAAGCTACTATTGGCGTCCAATCATAGGTTTCTTCATACTGATTCAATAAACATATGGTTTCTATAGACTTTTGCCTGAAAGAAGGGAGATAATTGTAAATTTCCGGTTTAGGAAATGTCACTTCCGGTCTCATATGATAGCTTTATTTACACTGATTCCAAAAATATATGGTTTATATATACTTTTGCCTGTAAAAAGGGAGATTATTGGCTACTTCCGGTTTAGAAAATATCACTTTCGGTCTCAAATGATAGATTTATTTACACTGATTCCAAATATTTATGGTTTATATATACTTTTGCCTGTAAAAAGGGAGATAATTGACTACTTCCGGTTTAGAAAATGTCAATTTCGGTCTCATATGATAGCTTTATTTACACTGATTCCAAAAATATATGGTTTATATATACTAATGTCTGTAATAAGGGAGATAATATGCTACTTCCGGTTATAAAATATCACTTCCGGTCTCAAATGATAGATTAATGTATGACCATTTAAAAAATATATGGTTTCTAGGTACTTTTCCATGAAATAAGTGCAAAAAATACTACTTCCGGTTCACTCAAGGTCACTCTCGGTTTACTTTTTTCAAGGTCATATGCCAACCAACAGTTGGCAAAAGACCCTATGGCTTTATCATGTACCAAGTTGGAGTAATAATCAATTAACCTTAAATTGAATCATTTCAGGGACAATAACTCCTATAAGATATCATTGGATTGTTTCAGACCAAATGTATCATATCTTAATCACAATTAAGCAAACATTTTGCACTAGTTCTTTAATTTGTAATTTTAAAAGTGACAGAGGAGATCAAATAACAAGGAAAAGTCAAAATTTGGAATATGACCTTGACCTTTGACCTTTGCCTCAATTTCATTTAAATGAACCAAGGAACTCAAATCAATATACCTTAGGTCTCTATCACTTACTATTCATGCTATACATTTATATATCCCTTATGTCAAATACAGAAGGGGAAATAACTCTCATATGGAGTTTACGTATTGTTTCGGTGAAATGGGACAAAACATCCTGAGGATATAACGAGTAATTTGGTAAAATAAATTTGTTGCTTTCTTTTATGGTTATGGAGGAGATGCACGCACAAGGAAAACAGTGTTCGGGGAGATAACTCCTACAAAGAAAAGTATTCGGTTAAGCAGGGTCAACTTTAAAGGCAAATAAACTGTTCGATATCAAATACGAAACATCTAAGCGACATCTTGCGAAACAAAAATTTATCGCAAGAACAAAATTTGGCGGAAGAAAAAAAAAAAAAAAAAATAATCAGAAGAAAACCAATAGGTCTTTCCACAGAAAAGTGGAAAGACCTAATAATAATAATTAAAAACCAATTGTTCAGAGAACAATTGAAGGTCTTTCCACATCAATTTTCAAAGTTATTGAAAAGAAGCTAGTTCCGGTTTACTCAAAGTTAAAATTGGAATCCAATCATAAGTTTCTTCAAACTGATGCGATAATTGAATGGTTTATATATACTTTTGAGTGAAATAAAGGAGATAATGTGCTACTTCCGGTGATGTAAGCGTCACTTCCGGTCTCATTTGATAGCTTCTTTTACACTGATTCCAAAAATATATAGTTTCTATATACCTTTGCATGTAAAACAGGAGATAATTGGCCACTTCCGGTTTATCTAAAGTCACTTCTGGTCTTTAGTGATAAGTTTATGTATTTATATTACAAAATATATGGATTCTGAGTACTTTTCCATGAAAAAAATGCAAAAAGGCTACTTCCGGTTTTCTCAAGGTCACCTCCGGTTGACATTTTTCAAGGTCATATGTCACCAAACCTTTTGTAAAAGGTCATATGGCTTTATAATGAACCAAGATGAAGTAATAATCAATTAAACTTATAATAAGACATTTCAGGGGCACTAACTCCTATAAGATGCCATTAGATTGTTTCAAACCAAATGTAACATATCTTCATTACAATAAAGCAAACATTTTGCACTTGTTCTTTTATATATATCTTTAAAAGTGTTTGAGTAAATGCAAAAACAAGGAAAAGTCAAAATTTAGAACTTGACCTTGACCTTTGACCTTGACTTCATTATTAAGTTAGGACCTAGAGGCCTCAAATAAAAACATTCCAGGGTTATACGGTGAAAGGTTTATGTGTTAAAAAAACATACGTCCAAATTAGCCAAAAATTTCTGAGGATGTAACGAACAATTTAGAAAAAGAATTATGTCGATATCTTTTTTTGTGACGAAGGAGATGCACACACTTGATAAACAATGAATAGGGAGATAACTCTTACAAAGAAAATTGTTCGTCTGAGCAGGGTGAAATTTAAAAGCGCATAAACTATACGATACAATATGAGAAATATCTAAGTGACATAATGCGTAACAAATATTTATCGCAGGAACAAAATTAGGCAGAAGAAAAAAAAATAATAATACTAATAATAATAATTAAAAACCAATTGTTCACAGAACAATTGAAGGTCTTTCCACATCAATTTTCTAAATAATTGATAGGAAGCTACTTCTGGTTTACTCAAAGTTATTAATAGCGTCAAAGTATAGATTTCTTCATACCGATTCAATAAATAAATGGGTTCTATATACTTTTGAAATAAGGGAGATAATTGCCAACTTCCGGTTTAGAAAATGTCACTTCCGGTCTCATATGATAGCTTTATTCACACTGATTCCAAAAATATATAGTTTGTATATACTTATGCCTGTAATAAGGAAGATAATATGCTACTTCCGGTATATAAAATGTCACTTCCGGTATATAAAATGTCACTTCCGGTCTCAAATGATAGGTTAACCTATGATCATTCAAAAAATATATGGTTTCTAGGTACTTTTCCATGAAATAAGTGCAAAAAATACTACTTCCGGTTCACTCAAGGTCACTTCCGGTTGATTTTTTTCAAGGTCATATGTCAACTAACAGTTTGCAAAAAACCCTATGGCTTTATCATGTACCAAGTTGGAGTAATAATCAATTAACCTTAAATTGAATCATTTCAGGGACAATAACTCCTATAAGATATCATTGGATTGTTTCAGATCAAATGTATCATATCTTAATCACAATTCAGCAAACATTTTGCACTAGTTCTTTAATTTGTAATTTAAAAAGTGACAGTGGAGATCAAATAACAAGGAAAAGTCAAAATTTTGAATATGACCTTGACCTTTGACCTTTGCCTCAATTTCATTTAAATGAACCAAGGAACTCAAATCAATATACCTTAGGTCTCTATCACTTACCATTCATGCTATACATTTATATATCCCTTATGTCAAATACAGAAGGGGAAATAACTCTCATATGGAGTTTACATATCGCTTCAGTCAAAATTGGACAAAACATCCTTATGATATAACGAGCAATTTGGTAAAATAAATTTGTCGCTTTCTTTTACGGTTACGGAGGAGATGCACGCACAAGGAAAACAGTGTTCGGGGAGATAAATCCTACAAAGAAAAGTATTCGGTTAAGCAGGGTCAATTTCAAAGGCGCATAAACTGTTCGATATCATATACGAAATATCTAAGCGACATCTTGCGAAACAAAAATTTATCGCAAGAACAAAATTTGGCGGAAAAAAAAATAATCAGAAGAAAACCAATAGGTCTTTCCACAGAAAAGTGGAAAGACCTAATTATAATCAGAACAAATACAACAGGTCTTTCCACAGAAAAGTGGAAAGACCTAATAATAATAACGATCAGAACAAATACAATAGGTCTTTCCACCGAAAAGTGGAAAGACCTAATAATAATAATCAGAACAAATACAATAGGTCTTTCCACCGAAAAGTGGAAAGACCTAATAATCAGAACAAATACAATAGGTCTTCCCACAGAAAAGTGGAAAAACCTAATTAAAAACCAATTGTTCAAAGAACAATTGAAGGTCTTTCCACATCAATTTTCTAAATAATTGATAGGAAGCTACTTCTGGTTTACTCAAAGTTATTAATAGCGTCAAAGTATAGATTTCTTCATACTGATTCAATAAATAATGGTTTGTATATACTTTTGCCTGAAATAAGGGAGATAATTGCCAACTTCCGGTTTAGAAAATGTCACTTCCAGTCTCATATGATAGCTTTATTCACACTGATTCCAAAAATATATAGTTTGTATATACTTATGCCTGTAATAAGGAAGATAATATGCTACTTCCGGTATATAAAATGTCACTTTCGATCTCAAATGATAGGTTAACCTATGATCATTCAAAAAATATATGGTTTCTAGGTACTTTTCCATGAAATAAGTGCAAAAAATACTACTTCCGGTTCACTCAAGGTCACTTCCAGTTTACTTTTTTCAAGGTCATATGTCAACCAACAGTTTGCAAAAGACCCTATGGCTTTATCATGTACCAAGTTGGAGTAATAATGAATTAACCTTAAATTGAATCATTTCAGGGACAATAACTCCTATAAGATATCATTGGATTGTTTCAGACCAAATGTATCATATCTTAATCACAATTAAGCAAACATTTTGCACTAGTTCTTTAATTTGTAATTTTAAAAGTGACAGAGGAGATCAAATAACAAGGAAAAGTCAAAATTTTGAATATGACCTTGACCTTTGACCTTAGCCTCAATTTCATTTAAATGAACCAAGGACCTCAAATCAATATACCTTAGGTCTCTATCACTTACTATTCATGCTATATATTTATGTCAAATACAGAAGGGGAAATAACTGTCATATGGAGTTTTCGTATCGCTTCGGTCAAAGTTGGACAACACATCCTGAGTATATAATGAGCAATTTGGTAAAATAAATTTGTCGCTTTCTTTTACGGTTACAGAGGAGATGCACTCACAAGGAAAACAGAGTTCGGTGGAAAAAACTCCTACAAAGAAAAGTATTCGGTTAAGCAGGGTCAATTTCAAAAGCGCAATAACTGTTCGATATTATATGCAAAAAATCTAAGCGACATCTCGCAAAACCACAATACCCCGCAAGAAAAAAAAGTGGCGGAAGAAGAAAAAAAAATTATTAAAAACCAAATTGAAGGTCTTTCCACCCATAAAGATCTATTTTGATATAGAACTATTGAAATTCGGTTTAAAATATCATATCCAGCGTCAAATGATAGCTTATTGTACACTGATTCCAAAAATATATGGTTTCTATACATTTTTTTTCTAAATATGGGAGATAAATTGTTACTTCCGGTTTGAAAAATGTCACTTCCGGGTTTTTTTATAGTTTACTTGATACTGATTCCAAAAATATATGGTTTAATATACTTTTACATTTATTAAGTACAAAAGTCCCATGGCTTTATCATGTATACATATGAGGTAAAAAAAGCAAAGGTCAATATCTAAAACGTCAAATTTACCTTTGACCTTCATCTCAATTTCAAGGTCATAAACCAAGGGCTTCAAATCAAAAGACCATAGGTCTTAATTATATATGGTTAATGAGTTATATCACTATATGCCTAATTTTTAATATAAGAGGGGAGAAAACTCCAATTTAATGTTAGTGTACCCTTTCAACCAAAATTTATGTGTTACGACATGTTGCAACTTACAATTTAGTAAAAATATGTTGTCGATATCTTATACGGTTTTTGAAAAGAATTGAAAATAAGCCAAAATCAAAATTTAAAATATGACCTTGACCTCTGACCTTGACCTTTTTTTTGTTTTGGACCAAGGACCTTAGATCAAAAGATCCTAGGTCTCTATCACTTATGGTTTACAAGATAGAAATGCATATCACTTATGCAGGGTGAATTTCAAAGGCCCATAAACTGTTCGATATCATATACGAAGCATCTAAGCGACATCTTGCGAAACAAAATTTATACGCAAGAAATAAAAGTGGCGGAAGAAGAAAAAAAAATAATAATCAGAACAAATACAATGGGTCTTTCCACCAAAACATGATTGATTGATATATGTGTATGTTTGTTTGTTTGTTTGTTTGTTTGTTTGTTTGTTTGTTTCTTTTTTTTTCTTTCTTTAAAGGGTCCATATTAGTGTGTTGGTTAAGTTTCTATATTTAGTTTGGAAAGTTTTTATTCTATTTCAGGGTCCGCGCGCGTCTTTGTCTCGCGCCAGGTTGTGGCGTCACGTGACGAGGCTTTATATTAGCGAAAACTTAGTATTTTTATTCTTTTTTAGGTTGGGACGTTAAACAGACAACATGTATAGCGACGGAATTTACACAATGTATTTCTTTTGTCATTGTAGGTAATTGACATTTTGATCACAGTTTACGAGCAGTGCATGCTTTGGATTTAATTGATCCTGTGTAATTTTAAAACACGTTTGTTGATTATTTTCATATAATGTACATTTTCCAGTAGCAGTTTGTAACACAGATTTGTATTTCAATCTAGGAGCGGACGTTTCATTGTAGGATTTCACTGAGATTTACGGAACTAGCAAGCGATTTTTACGGCATTGCAATTTCTTTTTTCTAGGAAAATTCTTGAAAGATATCTGCACCACGTTGTTTTATGAAGATGTAATACATGTATACCCTGCTGACTGCAAATTTTGGGGTCAATTGGACAAGTAGTTTCAGAGAACATCTGATAACAAGCATGTGGATTTGTTTTTTCAGAACAGATGTAAGAACAATTTTAAAAACCAATTGTTCAGAGAACAATTGAAGGTCTTTCCACCAGTAAAGATCTATTTTGAAATAAAAATATTAACATTCGGTTTAAAATGTCATTTCAAGTGTCAAATGATGGCTTATTGTACGCTTATTCCAAAAATATATTGTTTCTATACAAACAAAAATTAAATAAGGAAGATAATTTGAGACTTCCGGTTTGAAAAATGATACTTCCGGTATAATTTAATAGTTCACTTGACACTGATTCCAAAAATATATGGTTTCTATGTACTTTTACATTAAAAATATACAAAAATTAGCTACTTCCAGTTTACACAAGGTCACTTCCGGTTGGTTTTCCAACCTCAAATGATAATGCAAAAAGTCCCATGACTTTATCATGTATACATATGAGGTAAAACAAAAGATCAAAATCTAGAACGTCAAATTTACCAATGACCTTCAGCTCAATTTCAAGGTCATAAACCAAGGACCTCAAATCAAAAGACCCTACGTCTTAATTATATATGGTTAATGAGTTATATCACCATATGCGCTATTTTAAATACAAGGGGGGAGAAAACTTCAATTTAATGTTAGCGTACCCTTTCAACCAAAATGTATGTGTTACGACATGTCACAACTAACAATTTAGTAAAAATAAATTTGTCTATTTCTAATACAATTTTTGAAAAAAGTGAAAATAAGCCGAAATCAAATTTTAGAATATGACCTTGACCTTTGACCTTGACCTAATTTTCCATTTTTTGGACCAAGGACCTCAAATCAAAAGACCCTAGGTCTCTATTACTTATGGTTTACCAGTTTGAAATGTATATCACTTATATCAAATGCATAAGGGGAAATAACTCTCATATGGAGTCTCCGGACCGCTTCGGTGAAAACCAAACTCAACATCCTGAAGATATAGCGAGCAATTTGGTAAAATAAGTTTGTCGAAATCTTTTACGGCTGCGAAGAAGTAGCAAACACAAGAAAACAGTGTTCAGGGAGATAACTCTTACAAAGAAAAGTATTCGGTTAAGCAGAGTCAGTTTTGAAAGCGCATAAACTGTTCGATATCATATACCAAATATCAAATCGACATCTTGCGAAACAACCAAACAGCGAAAGAAAAAAAATTAGGCGGAAAAAATAGTGTCACTCCCGGTCTCATATGATAGCTTCTTTCACACTGATTCCGAAAATATATAGTTTCTAAATACTTTTGCCTGTAAACAAGGATATAATTGGCCACTTCCGGTTTATCGAAAGTCATACCTAATCTTTGGTGATAAGTTAATGTATTTCAATTACAAAATATATGGATTCCGAGAACTTTTCAATGAAAAAAGTGCAAAAATGGCTACTTCCGGTTTTCTCAAGGTCACTTCCGGTTGTCATTTTTCAAAGTCATATGTCACCCAACCTTTTGTAAAAGGTCATATGGCTTTATAATGAACCAGGTTGAAGTAATAATCAATTAACCTTATAAATAGACATTTCAGGGGCACTAACTTCTAAAGATGCCCTTAGATTGTTTCATACCAAATGTAACATATGTTCATTAAAATAAAGCAAACATTTTGCACTTGTTCTTTTATATATATCTTTAAAAGTGTTGGAGAAAATGCCAAAACAAGGAAAAGTCAAAATTGAGAACTTGACCTTGCCCTTTGACATTGACTTCATTTTCTAATTTAGGACCTAGGGGCCTCAAATAAAAACATTCCATGGTTATAGAGTTAATGGTTTATGAGTTAAAAATACATACCGACAAATTTATTTGGTAAAGGTAAATAACTCCTATAAAATTTCATCGAATCGCTTGGATTCAAATTAGCCAAACATTCCTGAGGATGTAACGAATAATTTAGAAAAAGAATTTTGTCGATATCTTTTTTTGTTACGAAGGAGATGCACACACTTGATAAACAGTGAATAGGGAGATAACTCTTACAAAGAAAAGTGTTCGTCTTAGCAGGGTGAAATGTAAAAGCGCATAAACTGTACGATACAATATGAGAAATATCTAAGCGACATATTGCGAAACAAAAATTTCAAAAGTTGGCGGGAAAAAAAAATAATAATTAAAAACCAATTGTTCAAAGAACAATTGAAGGTCTTTCCACATCAATTTTCTAAATAATTGATAGGAAGCTACTTCTGGTTTACTCAAAGTTATTAATAGCGTCAAAGTATAGATTTCTTCATACTGTTTGAATAAATACAGGTTTCTATATACTTTAGCCTGAAATAAGGGAGATAATTGCCAACTTCCGGTTTAGAAAATGTCACTTCCGGTCTCATATGATAGCTTTATTCACACTGATTTCAAAAATATAAAGTTTGTATATACTTATGACTGTAATAACGAAGATAATATGCTACTTCCGGTATATGAAATGTCACTTCCGGTCTAAAATGATAGGTTAAACTATGATCATTCAAAAAATATATGGTTTTTAAGTACTTTTCCATGAAATAAGTGCAAAAAATACTACTTCCGGTTCACTCAAAGTCACTTCCGGTTTACTTTTTTCAAGTTCATATGTCAACCAACAGTTTGCAAAAGACCCTATGGCTTTATCATGTACCAAGTTGGAGTAATAATCAATTAACCTTAAATTGAATCATTTCAGGGACAATAACTCATATAAGATATCATTGGATTATATCAGACCAAATGTATCATATCTTAATCACAATTAAGCAAACATTTTGCACTAGTTCTTTAATTTGTAATTTTAAAAGTGACAGAGGAGATCAAATAACAAGGAAAAGTCAAAATTTAGAATATGACCTTGACCTTTGACCTTGGCCTCAATTTTATTTAAATGAACCAAGGAACTCAAATCAATATACCTTAGGTCTCTATCACTTACCATAATTGCTAAACATTTATATATCCCTTATGTCAAATACAGAAGGGGAAAAAACTCTCATATGGAGTTTACGTATTGCTTCGGTCAAAATTGGACAAAACATCCTGAGGATATAAAAAGCAATTTGGTAAAATGAATTTGTCGCTTTCTTTTACGGTTACGGAAGAGATGCATGCACAAGGAAAACAGTGTTCGGGGAGATAACTCCTACAAAGAAAAGTATTCGGTTAAGCAGGGTAAATTTCAAAGGCGCATAAACTGTTCGATATCATATACGAAACATCTAAGCGACATCTTGCGAAACAAAAATTTATCGCAAGAACAAAATTAGGCGGAAGAAAAAAAAAATAATCAGAAGAAAACCAATAGGTCTTTCCACAGAAAAGTGGAAAGACCTAATAAAAAACCAATTGTTCAAAGAACAATTGAAGGTCTTATCACATCAATTTTCTAAATAATTGATGAGAAGCTAATTCTGGTTTACTCAAAGCTACTATTGGCGTCCAATCATAGGTTTCTTCATACTGATTCAATAAACATGGTTTCTATAGACTTTTGCCTGAAATAAGGGAGATGATTGTCAACTTCCGGTTTAGACAATGTCACTTCCGGTCTCATATGATAGATTTATTTACACTGATTCCAAAAATATATGGTTTATGTATACTTATGCCTGTAATAAGGGAGATAATATGCTACTTCCGGTTCATAAAATATCACTTCCGGTCTCAAATGATAGATTAATTTATGACCATTCAAAAATATATGGTTTCTATGTACTTCTACATGAAATAAGTGCAAAAATGACTACTTCTGGTTCACTCAAGGTCACTTCCGGTTGACATTTTTCTAGGTCATATGTCACCCAACATTTTGCAAAATATCTTATGGCTTTATCATGTACCAAGTTGGAGTAATAATCATTTAACCTTAAATTGAACCATTTCAGGGACAATAACTCATATAAGATATCATTCGATTATATCAGACCAAATGTATCATATTTTAATCACAATTAAGCAAACATTTTGCACTAGTTCTTTAATTTGTAATTCTAAAAGTGACAGAGGAGATCAAATAACAAGGAAAAGTCAAAATTTAGAATATGACCTTGACCTTTGACCTTGGCCTCAATTTCATTTAAATGAACCAAGGAACTCAAATCAATATACCTTAGGTCTCTATCACTTACCATTCATGCTATACATTTATATATCCCTTATGTCAAATACAGAAGGGGAAAAAACTCTCATATGGAGTTTACGTATCGTTTCAGTCAAAATTGGACAAAACATCCTGAGGATATAACGAGCAATTTGGTAAAATAAATTTGTCGCTTTCTTTTACGGTTACGGAGGAGATGCGTGCACAAGGAAAACAGTGTTCGGGGAGATAACTCCTACAGAGAAAAATTATTTGGTTTCGCAGGGTAAATTTCAAAAGCGCATAAACTGTTCGATATCATATACCCAATATCTAAGCGACATATTGCGAATCAAATATTTATCGCAAGAACAAAATTAGGCGGAAGAAAAAAAAAATAATCAGAAGAAAACCAATAGGTCTTTCTACAGAAAAGTGGAAAGACCTAATAATAAATAAAAACCAATTGTTCAAAGAACAATTTAAGGTCTTTCTACATCAATTTTCTAAATAATTGATGAGAAGATAATTCTGGTTTACTCAAAGCTACTATTGGCGTCCAATCATAGGTTTCTTCATACTGATTCAATAAAAATGGTTTCTATAGACTTTTGCCTGAAATAAGGGAGATAATTGTCACTATCCGGTTTAGAAAATGTCACATTCGGTCTCATATGATAGCTTTATTTACACTGATTCCAAAAATATATGGTTTATATATACTTTTGCCTGTAAAAAGGGAGATAATATGCTACTTCCGGTTTATAAAATATCACTTCCTGTCTCAAATCATAGATTAATGTATGACCATTCAAAAATATATGGTTTCTATGTACTTCTACATGAAATAAGTGCAAAAATGACTACTTCCGGTTCACTCAAGGTCACTTCCGGTTGAAATTTTTCAAGGTCATATGTCACCCAACAATTTGCAAAAGATCTTATGGCTTTATCATGTACCAATATAAAGTAATAATCAATTTACCTTAAAATAAAACATCAGGGGCAATAACTCCAATAAGATGTCACTGGATTGTCTCAGACCAAATGTATCATATCTTCATCACAATATAAAAAACATTTTGCACTTGTTCTTTGATATATAACATTAAAAATATTGGAGAAAATGCAAAAACAAGCAAAAGACAAAATTCAGAACATGACTTTGACCTTTGACCTTGACCTCATTTTCGAAGTTAGGATCCAAGGACCTAAAATAAAAAGACTATAGGTTTATACGGTTTACAGTTTATGAGTAACAAAAACATAACAACAAATTTATTTGATAAAGGTAGATAACTCCTATAAAATTTCATTTAATCGCTTCGAGCCAAAATAGCCAAAAATTCCTGAGGATGTAACGAACAATTTAGAAAAAGAATTTTGTCGATATCTTTTTTTGTTACGAAGGAGATGCAAACACTTGATAAACAGTGAATAGGGAGATAACTCTTACAAAGATAATTGTTCGGCTTAGCAGGGTGAAATTTAAAAGCGCATAAACTATACGATACAATATGAGAAATATCTAAGTGACATAATGCGAAACAAATATTTATCGCAAGAACAAAATTTGGCGGAAGAAAAAAAAAATAAAAACCAATTGTTCAGAGAACAATTGTAGGTCTTTCCACAAAAAAAACATGTATTTTAATATGAAAATAGTTAAATTCGTTTTCAAATGTAATTTCCAGCTTCAAATGATAGTTTATAGTACGCTGATTCCAAAAATATATGGTTTTATTCAATATTTTTTAAATAAGGGAGATAATTTGTTACTTCCGGTTTGAAAAATGTTACTTCCGGTATTATTCAAACGTTTAATTGACACTGATACCAAAAATATCTGGTTCTATAAACTTTTACATTAATTAAGTACAAAAAAGCTACTTCCGGTTTACACAAGGTCACTTCCGGTTGGCTTTTCTAAGGTTAAATGGCTTGAAATCTAATGCAAAAAGTCCCATGGATTTATCATGTATACATATGAGGTAAAATAAAGGTCAAAATCTAGAACGTCAATTTAACCTATGACCTTGAGCTCAATTTCAAGGTCATCAACCAAGGACCTAAAATCAAAAGACCCTAGAACTTAATTATATTTGGTTCATGAGTTATATCACCATATGCATATTTTTAAATAATAGAGGGGAGAAAACTCTAATTTGATGTAAGCGTACCCTTTAAACCGATATGTATGTGTTACGACATGTCGCAACTAACAATTAAGTAAAAATATGTTGTCGATATCTTATATCGTGTTTGAAAAGAGGTGAAAATAAGCCAAAATCCAAATTTAAAAATGACCTTCACCTTTGACCTTGACCCTATTTTTTTTTTTTTTTTTTTGGACCAAGGACCTCAATTCAAAAGACCCTAGGTCCCTATCACTTATGGTTTACCAATTACAATTACATTTTACTTATTTTAAATACAGAAGGGGAAATAAGTCTCATATGGAGTTTCTGGACCGCTTCGGTCAAAATTATTCTTAAGATCCTGAGGATATAACGAACAAATTGGAGACATAAATTTGTCATAATCTTTTTCGGTTGGGAAGGAGATGCGTACACAAAAAAAACAGTGTTTGAGGAGATAACTCTTACAATAAAAAGTATTCGGCTAAACAGGGTCAGTTTCAAAATCGCAATAACTGTTCGATATCATACACAAAAAATCTAAGCGACATATTGCGAAACAGAAAAGCATCGTCAAAAAAAAGCGGCGGAAGAAAAAAACAAAAAATATTAATAATTAAAAACCAATTGTTCAAAGAACAATTGACGGTCTTTCCACATCAATTTTCTAAATAATTGATAGGAAGCTACTTCTGGTTTACTCAAAGTTATTAATAGCGTCAAAGTATAGATTTCTTCATACTGATTCAATAAATAAATGGTTTCTATATACTTTTGCCTGAAATAAGGGAGATAATTGCCAACTTCCGGTTTAAAAAATGTCACGTCCAGTCTCATATGATAGCTTTATTCACACTGATTCCAAAAATATATAGTTTGTATATACTTATGCCTGTAATAAGGAAGATAATATGCTACTTCCGGTTCATAAAATGTCACTTCTGGTCTCAAATGATAGGTTAACCTATGATCATTCAAAAAATATATGGTTTCTATGTACTTTTCCATGAAATAAGTGCAAAAAATACTACTTCCGGTTCACTCAAGGTCACTTCCGGTTTATTTTTTTCAAGGTCATGTATCAACCAGCAGTTTGCAAAAGACCCTATGGCTTTATCATGTACCAAGTTGGAGAAATAATCAATTAACCTTAAATTGAATCATTTCAGGGACAATAACTCCTATAAGATATCATTGGATTGTTTCAGACCAAATGTATCATATCTTAATCACAATTAAGCAAACATTTTGCACTAGTTCTTTAATTTGTAATTTAAAAAGTGACAGAGGAGATCAAATAACAAGGAAAAGTCAAAATTTAGAATATGACCTTGACATTTGACCTTGGCCTCAATTTCATTTAAATGAACCAAGGAACTCAAATCAATATACCTATATATAGGTCTCTATCACTTACCATTCATGCTATACATTTATATATCCGTTATGTCAAATTCAGAAGGGGAAATAACTCTCATATGGAGTTTACGTATCGCTTCTGTCAAAACTGGACAAAACATCCTGAGGATATAACAAGCAATTTGGTAAAATAAATTTGTCGCTTTCTTTTACGGTTATGGAGGAGATGCACACACAAGGAAAACAGTGTTCGGGGAGATAACTCCTACAAAGAAAAGTATTCGGTTAAGCAGGGTCAATTTCAAAGGCGCATAAACTGTTCGATATCATATACGAAACATCTAAGCGACATCTTGCGAAACAAAAATTTATCGCAAGAACAAAATTTTGCGGAAGAAAAAAAAAATAATCAGAAGAAAACCAATAGGTCTTTCCACAGAAAAGTGGAAAGACCTTATAATAATCAGAAGAAAACCAATAGGTCTTTCCACAGAAAAGTGGAAAGACCTAAAAATAATCAGAAGAAAACCAATAGGTCTTTCCACAGAAAAGTGGAAAGAAGACCTAAAAAAAATAATAATGATAATTAAAAACCAATTGTTCAGAGAACAATTGAAGGTCTTTCCACTCATAAAGATCTATTTTGAATTAGAACTATTAAAATTTGGTTTAATATATCATATTCAGCGTCTAATGATAATTTATTGTACACTGATTCCAAAAATTCATGGTTTCTATACATTTTTTTCAAAATAAGGGAGATAAATTGTTACTTCCGGTTTGAAAGATGTCACTTCCGGTTTTATTTGATAATTTACTTGATACTGATTCCAAATACACATGGTTTAATATACTTTTACATTAAATAAGTACAAAAAATAGTTACTTCCGGTTTACACAAGGTCACTTCCGGTTGGCTTATCCATGGTCAAGTGGCTTGCAACGTAATGCAAAAAGTCCTATGGCTTTATCACGTATACTTACGAGGTAAAAGCAAAGGTTAAAATCTAGAACGTCAAATTTACCTATGACCTTTAGCTCAATTTCAAGGTCATAAACCGAGGGCTTCAAATCAAAAGACCATAGGTCTTAATTATATATGGTTAATGAGTTATATCACTTTACGCCTAATTTTTAACATAAGATATTTCCAAGGTCATATGTCACCCAACCTTTTGTAAAAGGTCATATGGCTTTATAATGAAACAAGTTGAAGTAATAATCAATTAACCTTATAATTAAACATTTCAGGGACAGTAACTCCTATAAGATGACATTAGATTGTTTCAGACCAAATGTAACATATCTTCATTACAATAAAGCAAACATTTTGCACTTGTTCTTTTATATATACCTTTAGAAGTGTATGAGAAAATGCAAAAATAAGCAAAAGTCAAAATTTAGAACTTGACCTTTGACCTTTGACCTTGACCTCATTTTCTAAGTTAGGACCTAGAGACCTCAATCAAAAAAGTTCCAGGGTTATATGGTTAAAGGTTTATAAGTTAAAAAATCATACCGACAAATGGAGATGCACACACTTGATAAACAGTGAATAAGGAGATAACTCTTACAAGGAAAAGTGTTCGTCTTAGCAGGGTGAAATTTAAAAGTGCATAAACTGTACGATACAATATGAGAAATATCTAAGAGACATATTGCAAAACAAAAATTTCAAAAGTTGGCGGGAAAAAAAATAATAATAATAATAATCAGAACAAATACAACAGGCCTTTCCACAGAAAAGTGGAAAGA